ATCACTCAAAAACTGCTACAGGATAGCAGAGCAGAAGATTTATAGCCAGATGACAAGGACAGCCGCCTTTTGATGGGAAAGGGGAATTACCATTCTAGTTCCCACCCCCAGCCTCACCTTGCACGTCCATTTCCGTATTTGTATCCCAAATTTCAGTATTTCCGTCCCAGATGATTTGTGAGCTAGAGCAATGTGAACAAGTGGGTGCCTCCGATGAAGTGCTGTTGTGTGTGTGTGTGTGTCAGGGGCAGGTGGGAGTCACCTTGTGGGATTCTGCTGGTTTCCCTGTACTTCTTTCTCAGGAGAAGGAGATGACTTCGGGTATTTTCCTGACAGTGGTCTTGACCCTGTGTGTCCTGCGCTGGTTCTTCCCTGTCAGGAAGCCCTTTGCCTGAGAATGTGTCTAGCTTGGTTCAGCCCCTGGGCTCAGGTGTGGGCTACAGTGTGTGTGTGAGTGGCTGGGAGGTTCCGGATCATGCTCATCACAGTTGACTGGCTTTTTCCTTTGGGCTGTCGAGGACACACAGCACGTAGCTCCTGGCAGCTTGTGTGCAGGGTTTACGCTTGCTGTGAGCATGAAGTAGAGAGCATGGGCTTCTGAACAAGAAAGACCTCCGGGTGGAGTCTAGCCGTGCCCATTCCTAGCTCGGTGGCTCTGTGCAAGCCACTTTGCCTCCCTTGGTCTCAGTTTTCCCCTCTGTCAATGGGGGGTATTAATTCCTGCCTTGAACATTGATGTAAAGATTAAGGAAAATAAAATGTAAAATGTTTGGAAGATACAGCATCTTCCTATCATTCCAGACAGCTTTATAAACTCTCCCTACTTAATTAGAATAAAAAATGAAATCCTTTCTCCTTTAGGGATGCTGCTTTGGCCCATGATGTGCCCATTATCGGTACTTTGTCCCAGTAGCATTTTCTGTAAAGAGAACCATCCTATGACTTCTGGGGGAGTAAAGGACTCCTGGCTATTGTTCGTTAGAATTCTCCAGCATGAATACAACCAAGGCCTGGAAACTGGCGGTGGGGGAAAGAAATTCTCAAGACTAAGGTGACTTGGGTTTTAGGGAAAAGGTCGTAAGCGACTCTTTGCTCAGTAATTTTGTCTGGAAGGCCTGCTGTGGCTGCTTGGCTGTCCTGGGATTGGTGAGTTTTATAGCGTTAGGCCCTTTAAGGGCAGGATGGTCAAGGCCACTGAGCAATCTCAGGCCAAGTTTTTCTATCAGTGCCTCATTCACTGGCAGATATCTGGGTGCCTGTCTTCAGGCACGTGTGCTGGGCAAGAAGGTACAGCACTGAACGGAAACCTCCGTGGGGTTCCCAATCAGTAGGGCAGACTGGCATCAATCGAAGACCTCAAAAAATAAAGAGGAAATTTATACTGGGAGGAGAGTCCTGTGGGATCCGTGTAGGACTTCTGAGATCAAGTAAGAAAACCAATCGGGTGAGAGAGTTCAAAAAGGATGTTCATGAAGGCTGGAGAGTTGCCAGGTGAACAGGCGCTTAGGTGGGTGCGAGGAGGAGAGCATGTATGAGGATGGGACGGAGCCAGACCCCGGACCCCAGGCCCCGGAGAAGGGCCTGTGAGGTGAGGGGAGGAGGGAAGGGAGAGTGTAGCCTGAGAAGGCTCCTAAGAGGCTGCCAGTGACTGGATGGGCTGACTGGGCATGCCTTGCCGGGCAGGCGGTGTTGAAGACATTGGACTTTTCTTGAAAGCACCGGGAGCTATTGAAATGAAGCAGTACTTTGCATTTTGCAAGTAATCTGGCGCTGCCCTGGACGGGCATAGGAGGTGACAAATTAGGGGACATTGTAGCTGTCCAGACTAGAGATGGAGGTGACCCAGGGAGGGTGGCCATAGCAGAGGTGAGCCGAGAGGATGGAGTCCAGCCCAATGGGAGCTGGAGGGACTGGCTGCGCGGGGCCAGTTGGCCCGGGCTCCCTGAACGTTGCCGGCAGGAGCCATGAGAACGGGCTTTTGTATGTTGGCTCAGCACCCATACAGCTCTGGATTGTGTCTTAAAACCAGTGCAGCCAACTAGGGCATGGAATAATTTCTTGCACGGTTTTTTAATAAATATAATTATATGTTGTGTTGGTGAATTGAAGAAATACACATTGTGTTTCTAGGTTATGACGTATCTGAATGGAAATGTACTCACTGCCTATAATTGTAGCAGTCTTTACAGATTATACTGATTTTAGAATACTACAATTTGAAAGTCTTTTAATTATAATACATATTTAAGATAACTTTGCTGTAATTATAGAATAATTAAAATTTATATTTACCAGATTAGATGACCTGGGTCCCTGTCACTTTGCATTCCTATGGAGGTATATGCTTAAAAGTCAGTGTTAATTAATTGCAGATAGAAATGTGCTTTATACCCTGTGAAAGGAAGGGAAGAGCCACATTTTCCTAATTTCTTATAGGCTGATGTGAGGAGAAATTGCTCCCGTAATCGAAGCACATCCCGGTGGACTTGGTCAAGCACTGTGGGTTTTAATCTATCTTCCCGACTCCCCTCCACCCTCGTCCGCTGCAACTGAGAACATTCTGATGCCTGGGGCCCTCCACGTTTTGTTAGAACATCATAGAAGGATGGAAAGACTTAAAGAGGCCTTAGATCAGCCCCGGAGAGGGGCCTGGCGGTTTTGTGGGCTGCAGAACAGCAGAGAATATTGAGAAGGCGTCCCAGGGCTTGACTACCGGAGGCTTGTGCCAGGTCCAACTTCGGTGTCTGTGGATTCAGCTGCACAAATCAGTAATTTAAGAGTGGAAGAGAAAGCCCCCATTTCTCATAGGGCCGATGACACCCCAGCCTTCCCTCCTAGAGCGTGTGCCCGCAGACAGTGGGTGTCCTCGGTGGGGAGCACCTGTCCCCTCCCTGGCCAGTCCCTGGTGAGAAGGGGCGCATGCTCTCTTGGGTCCCCTGCTGCTGCAGATGCGTGGAACCTGGGGTCTGGGGCCAGGTTCCCGTGTGGGGATGACGCCCCGCATCCTTGGGGAGACACAGAGGCAGTGGTGGGGAACCTGTAGGAGGTGCTAGAATTATCCTGAGGGGTAGGCAGTCAGCTTGGACATAGGCAAGCTCTCCCGTAGGGAATTGTTGGATCAAACCCCTGCATGGAATTCGCTCCTGCCTGTTGTAGCCATCATGTGTTTGTGCTCCCTTGCCTCGCGGGAGTTGCTCATCCTGTGTTCACTGTGCTTTACCCGCCGTCCAAGGCTTTTTGAAGGGTGACTTTTGACTACGTAGGATTTTCCCTGTGCGTGCTCACCTACAACCTCATCCCCGCCCAGGAAGTGACTTTTCCTTAATAAAATCCAGAGACCTTTTCTGTTGGGATGTTCTTGAAGCCTGACCACCTCTTGCTCCAAATTAAGCTTTCTCATCTGCTTATGAGAGAAAACATGGAACATATTCCTACTTTCGAGGCAATTTCCCCTGAGCCGTTCCTTCTTCAGACCAAATAGCACATTGCATTTAACGTTCTCTACATCTTTTTAAAGAGGGGCAGACGGTGACTGCTCAGGCCCCTTGCCAGGAGGCGAGTGGGGTTCCCTCGTGCGGCTGAGGCCGTGGGGCAGAGGAGGAGGAGTCCAGCCTCCGGGGGGTCAGGCCGCGTGGGCTCTGTCCTGGCTCTCCAGCTTTTCCTGAATGACGTTGGACAAGCCGCTCACCTTCTCGAGGCCTCTGCTTCTAACCGAAACAGAAGCAGGTTGGACAACCCTGAAGGCCCCCTCCGTCTCTAACATTCTGTGGTTAAAATGACCGCTTATTGAGCGCCTGCTGTATACACACATGGCACTGTCATGGGTAGGGGCTGGGCGGGGAGAGTTCCAAGGCCCTGCCCTGAAGGGGTTTAGAAATGTTTTCTCTGTTCAGGTGATAGGCAAAGCCCCTGCGTGGGGACATGAGCACAGAAGCCTTTGAGCTGGGCTCTCGGGTGGTCACCCCCTTGTCCGCACCTACACATCAGGTCTGCAGTCGCCTCTCCTTCTGACACAGTGCCTGTGTTCATCTTCTAGCGTAGCAGACCTTTTCTCTGAAGAAGCAGAGCGTAAATATTCTTAGTCTAGGGGCCATACGGTGTGTGTTACGATTCCACTCTGCTCTTGCAGGAAGAGCAGGTATAGCGGTGTAAGAACGCGTGGGCGTGGCTGTGTGCGAATAAAACTTTATTTATGGAGATAGTTTGCTGACTTTAGAAAGTTCGAGTTTATAAAAGGTTACCACTCCAAAAAAATAAATAAATAAACGGTTAACACTCTGTCTTAAACCCTAGAAATGGTTGCCTCATCGTCACTGGGTCTGTGGACATGGCCGGGGATTACCTCACACGGGGCAGGCTCAGCACTGACTCTACCTTTAGGTTTTCACCAGCAGAGACCTGACTGTAGGTCTTTTTGTTCCTGGGCTTGTTTTATAAGAGGAACATTCAGGACTCTCCACTGGGGAGTTACACTGACTGCCAGGGATTCTCAGGGGCCTCCCCGAGACAGGAGAGCGGAGACTTGCCATCTTTGTCTTCAGGGACAGAAGCTTCTGCCCGAACACAGGCTCTTTGATTGCGGCTGACCCGACAAACCAGCATGTACCCATTTTGGGAAACAACCACAGGCCCTCACCTTGTTCATCCCTTAGGCTCTCCGGAATGTTCTAAAAAGAAAGAATACTGTCTGGCTGCCACATCTGGGGTTTTGTTGGCAGAAGTCTCTGTGGGGTTGCACAAGGCAAGAAGGCCAGTCAGGAGGGGTCACCCAGGAAGTCTTCCTCGTCGGGAGGATAAAGGTGCCCTCCGGGCATTGGAAACAACCGGAAATGGCCAGTCCTCGGAAAACTGTGACCTTACATCCTGAGTATCCTTAAATAGTTGTTTTGAGTCCGGGAAAGAGGTGATGTCCACTCCGGCCAGGACTCGAGGGAGGAAGGGCATTTATTTTAGGGCTGGTGTTTCAGCGAGCCACGCTCGGGCCTTTGTTTTGTTTCCAGGGAGAGGCGATATCCAGCCTCAGTTGGACAGTGCTCTCCAGGATGTCAACGACAAGTATCTCCTGCTGGAAGAAACAGAAAAGCAGGCAGTCCGGAAGGCTTTGATTGAGGAGCGCGGCCGATTCTGCACCTTCATTGCTATGCTGCGGCCAGTGATTGTAAGTTAGTGGAAAGCTCTGGAAGGCTTCAGCTGCCAGTTTGGAGGAGATTTTCTTTTATCCATCCACCTGTCCTTGAGTCCCGGGGAATTTGCTGCGTGTCAGGGATCGTGATGGCGGAAGTGCTTCCGTAGGCTGGTGACGCTCTCTGGGTCGCCGTTCCTTGTTCATGGTTCTTAGCACCGGTCATTCACTTACTCTTTCTCCCCAAGTCAAGAAGGCCTTGCAGGGTGGTTCTTAAGGTGTGGTGGGCCCCAGGCCAGCAGCATCCCCTAGGAACCGGTTAGAAATGCAGCTTCTTGGGGCGCCTGGGTGGCTCAGTCATTAAGCGTCTGCCTTCAGCTCAGGTCATGGTCCCGGGGTCCTGGGATCGAGCCCCGCATCGGGCTCCCTGCTCGGCAGGAAGCCTGCTTCTCCCTCTGACCCTCCCCCTGCTGTGTTCCTTTCTTGCTGTATCTCTCTCTGTCAAATAAATAAATAAAATCTTAAAAAAAAATGCAGCTTCTTGAGCCCAACCCAGACCCTCCTGAATCCAAACCTCTGGGGTGGGGACCCAGTCATCTGGGTTTTAAACAAGGCCTTCGGGTGGTTTTGAGACTCGGTGGCCGACTTCAACACCAGTGAGTGACTGTGAAATTAATATGGGAAGATCCTCAATGAATCAGTGCAGACTTAATTTTTAAAGTAAATCATTTCCATGCGATAATTGAGGACTTCTGCTGTCAGCATTCTTGAAGCTGGTAAGACACCAGCTCATTTCCCTCAGCCCTAGCAAAATGCCCAAATAGGAGTCAGCCTCTGAGCATAGAACTTGTCCGTGGCTCATTCTTGCCCAGGCCTGCAGTCCCAGCTTGGCACTTCAGTGGAGCGGATTACTCCCTTCCGTAGTCTCCTGCTCCTGTCTCACTTGCCGTTTATTAAGTTGGTGGAAAACACAAGAGAGAAGGGGGAGAGTTAACGCTACTGCGCACACGTGGGCTGTCACAGAGATCCGTTATCCGATCCGGACCCAAATCACTCCCACTCGGGTCAGCCACTGAAGTGGAGTGACTTCAGAGCAGGGCCTCAGCCCGTGGAGGGGCTGTGCTGCAGGATCCCGTGGGAATACGCAGGCGGACCATCTGAGCAGGTGTGCTAGCCCCCCCCCCCCCCCCAGCACTGCAAGGAAGGCCACGTGTTTGCTTTGACTTGCTCACCATGTCTGGGGGGCGCAGTCACTCCATAATTATGGCAGAGTCCTTTTTCCCTTGGTGTTTCCCAAGAGAGAGGGGAGGCGGTAGCGCCTTCAGCACAGATGTACCAGTCTCGGGCGCCTTTTCTGAAACGCTGAAAGGGTCAGACAGAGAAACAGTTGGACCAAGACAAGGAAGTGAATCACTCATGATGACAACATGCTGTGCATTACTGTCCTTCAGGAAGAAGAAATCTCAATGCTAGGGGAAATAACTCATCTTCAGACCATATCAGAAGATCTGAAAAGCCTGACCATGGACCCTCACAAACTGCCGTCCTCAAGTGAACAGGTAGGAGGCGTGGGTTGAGCACTCAAGAGAGCAAACCAAAGACCTAAAGGTTCAAGGTCTTGAGGGTTCCTTGAGGCATTATCCCATTTAAAATCCTGTTGGTGTTTCACATGGTGATACATAGTCGTCATCTCTGCGAGCCATTATAGAGCACCTGTTGTGGGCCAGGTCGTGTTCTAGGCTCTTTGCATAGCCTTCCTCAGCTAATCTTCACTGTTATTCCCATTTTATAGAGCAGGACAGTGAGGCACGGAGAGATAAAGTCACTTAGCCACGTTCACCTAGCTAATTAGTGGCAGAACTGGGATTTGAACCAAGTAGTCAAGAGTCCGTGGTCTTAACCATTGTGTTTATCTGTCTTCTAGAAATAAACTCGTATAGGAACATGACCGTGATCTTGGTCATCCTTGTGAACCAGTCTCACTGAATTTCTCCCATTCTAATTAATTAATGCGTGAGGCTCTCTCTTATGAAAAAGATGACATTTTTCATGCTTATTCATTTAGTTCACATGACAGTAACATTATATCAGGTGGGAACAGCTGACGAATCACGTGCTGGCTTTTGCCCTTTGTACAAAATTCTTACTGCCTCCCTGGAGAACCAACTCCGAAGACAAACACAAGAGTGTATATTTTTCGTTCTATGAAATCGCTTTTGTTAAAACACAGCCGGCGTGCATTGACTCAATAAATAGACATTTATTGAGCATCTACTGTAAGAATGAAAGGTAGACCTCACATTCATGTACTTACTTGTCAGGCGGGGGAGCCAGATGCAGAAGTAACTGCGAAAGAATCGCCTTTTGCTCCTGATTCTGCCAGGTTTTCAAATATCAAGTTGTGGTCAGATAGGGCACAAGTGATCACCAAATATCAAGCAGCTAAAATGCAAGATCACCCAATCCTGAAACCGTGATTGAACCTATAGTTCTCGAAGACAAAAGTCCTATAAATTCTAGCCTGGATTATAAATGACTCTTGTAAATTGTTCATCTGTAACTGTAAATCAATCTCTCTTTCTCTCTCTCTCTCTCTCTCTCTAGACTGATATTCATGGTCCCCTCCCTCCCCTTGCAATTTTTTTTATATTTTTGCTTGTGTCAGAAAAAGGATGAGGACATTGATGGATTGGTAGTATGGTTCTTTAATTTAAAAAAAGACCTGAACAATAGTTTTTACATTATACCTCTGGATGATGGCAGAATTTTGATGTTACTGGTAAAGATTTGATGGATAACGTTTCCCTGCTCAGCTCCTTGATTACCCACTTGGCTCTGTCCCCTTAGGTGATTTTGGACTTGAAAGGCTCTGATTACAGTTGGTCGTACCAGACGCCACCCTCTTCCCCCAGCACGACCATGTCCCGCAAGTCCAGCGTCTGCAGGTAAGTCAAGCTGGACCCTGCTCCTCCTGACACACTCGAGAAGCATCTAGAATAGTTCTGCCATCTGCAGAATTGTTTCCTAGCAGTTTTCTGTTTGACCGTTCTTGGCTTGCTGACTGCAGAGTTTACTGTCCTCTTCTTGAAGGATGGAAGGTTCACCATGCATCACTGATCCTTCTTGGTGTCCTCGACCGACTGATCTTTTTCTTGGACTTTCCGAAGCCAAATGACCTTCCCCTTCTTGTGAATGAGTGTTGAGAGTAAAGAGCAGGTTGGATCTGCCAAATCTGTGTCCGGTTGTGTCTCTGTACACACTTGTGTGTGTGTCCTTTCATATTTGAGCGTGTCTAGTGAACACTGAACAGTGATTTCAGACTGAAGACACTACATCCTGACATTCCGGAACCTAAAAATGTTGGTTGATTTAGTGTCCTCTTTTGTAGGCTGTATGTGTGTGTGTGTGTGTGTGTCTTTGACAAATCTACTGGGTTTTCAGTTTGGTAACCAAGAAAACCATCTCACTGGTATAAAACGAAGCTGCATGAGTATCTTGTCTCTCTTAGAGTGTGAGCTTCAGTCGAAAATCCCGTAGCACTGACGGCATCGGCTATGAACTTGGTGGAGCGCAGATGCCCTCTTCTGGCTGATTGGCAGGCTGGGGGGGGGAGGGGGGAAGCAAAAATTATGATGATCATCCCCAGCCGCAGTCATTTCCTCTGGCACGCTCCCCTGTATCTGTCGGAGCGTCCACACCAAGTGATTCTAGCCTGGGGCAGTCACACGGCCTTGACCACATTGGCTGTCAGTGTTGGCGAAATTTGACAAGACTCTTGCCAGAAGCAGAAACCGCAAACTTTCTAATCCTGGGCTGGGTTGTTTGTTCTATCCCTTCTGATACTTCTACGACTGTACTTTATATCTCGGTTGGGACCACAGAACTCTGTTCAGGTTTCTGGTTTTCATAATTTGAGTAATTACCGTGCAGAGCGTTATTCGTTAGAGGTGGAAATGGAAGCAGACAACACCTCCAGGGAGTGTATCACTTCTCGACATCCTGTTGACTGTTCATCTCGGAAGCAAACAGCTTAGCACTGACTCCCTGGTGGTGTCGAAAGCTGCCCGCCTCTCTCCAGGTGTGCCGGTCACACCCAGCCCGCAGATACTGTCACAGATTCTTGTGGCCAGGGTAAAGCCATTCATTAAAGCATCACCTTTGTTAATAAGAGGTACGGCACGGTGACATGGACACACTGAGTGGATTTGCTGATGTTCTTTATGATGGTCTTGAGCCAGGTTCGTGTAGGATGGAGTCACCTCGAGGAGTCCCTTGGCACCTGCACTTCCAAGGCGTCGGTTGTCTGGGTTGACCTTGGTTTCCTGGCCCCAGATGGTCCATCTAAGGGAGACCCTCGCATATTCTAACCGGGTGGTGCTGCAGCCTCATGGTTTTTGCTACAGGGTCATGGGATTCTGCGAGCTGCTGAGCAGGGACGATTAGCCCCATCTTTTCCTGCCGCAGACATTAGGTCTGTAGCTTTGGTGGTAGATGACGTGGCAGAATCGGGTAGCACTGGACTCTTCAGAGTCATGGGCCTCCATGCTAAGGTCACCTCGTGGCACCATCAGAGAAGTGAGTCCCGGCAGACTCTTGGTTTATGATAACTCTAGTTTTCTCTCCCCTGCTCACGTGAAGAAGCTTTTGTTTGCTAGCTGAATCATCTGCTGGCTTTGAAACCATGCCTTACCGTTTGCCCCGCTTTTCTGTGGCAGGGGGCTGACTGCATTATGTTCTCCCCCCTCCCCCCCCCGTTTTTCCCATCGCTCCTTCCTCCTCCCCTCCCACGCCTGCTCCCTCTGCTTGCCCCCACAGCAGCCTGAACAGTGTGAATAGCAGCGACTCGCGCTCCAGCGGCTCCCACTCCCACTCCCCGAGCTCCCACTACCGTTACCGCAGCTCCAACTTGGCCCAGCAGGCGCCCGTCCGCCTGTCCAGCGTGTCCTCCCACGACTCAGGATTCATTTCCCAGGACGCCTTCCAGTCTAAGTCGCCGTCCCCCATGCCGCCAGAGGCCCCCAACCAGGTAAGGGGGCCCCGGGCTCCAGAAGCGGCTGTGGCGTCTAGTGCCCGGGCCCCTGCCCGTGGCTGCCACCAGGGAAGGACGGCGGCTCTAGCAGAGCCCTGTCCTCTTCCCACGAGAGACCTCTGGTCTAAGCTGTCACCTTTCGATGAGTTGTTTCCCCAAAGGGCGAGAACTCTAAGTTGGGGTTGAAGCCTGTCTCCATGGCGGTGATGGTCGCGTCACCCCGTTGGGTCGGGGAGTTTTCTTACGCAAGGAGACGGACCACCCTCTGGCGCCCCTGTCAGTGTCCGGCTCAGCGTGGTGCTTAAGGAACGACATTGGTGCAAGGGCGGCCCCTCCCCTCCCGCCCTCTCTGCTTCCCTCTGAGCGGTGGAGATTCTGGGAAGCCTTCCGGGGCACTGCCCGGTTCCCTGTCGCAGCTGGCGCGAGAATGAGAGTGGATCCTGAGAGCCCTTGCAGATGGGTTCGGTTGGCCTTCTGCTCCCGGGACGAGGGACGATGGGGACTCTTCCAACCGCCGCTGCTTAGGCGGCGGCGCTAGACCCAGCGCAGCCCAGGCCAGCGGTTGCAGCAGGGGCAGGGGCTGGCGGGGGCACTGGGACGCCCTCCCCCTGCTGCCCTGTCGGTTCCCTCTCCCCCAGCCCCCGTCCCTGTCCCCTAGCGGCAGGGGCCCGGCTTCCCCCTTTGTAAGCGGCCCGCGCCATCTGCTGGGGAGCCCTCTGCGCTCTCTCGGGCTGCCCACAGCCTTTGGTCCTGGAGCCTGTGGACTCAGAAGGTCACGTGCTTGCCTTGTTTATACAGGTACCCAATTTGCATCACAGTCCCTGAGTATCTACCGTGTACCCGGCACCACCCTAGGGCCTCCCCCCCGCCCCCCACATGCTGTCCCTGTCGTCCTTCCGACAGCCACGGGGAGTATTTTTACGCCTACTCGGTTGTGGACACGGGGGCTCAGAGATGTGACTTCCCCACGTTGTGCTACCATGTGACCTGCAGGGCAGGGGGCGGGGGGGGGGGGGCTCCCGGAACAAGGGCTTCTGATGACTGATCCAGAGCCCTTTCTGTTCTTTCTCAGCCGTAAGGCGTCCTTGGAAGAGTGTTTGGGGGGCACTTCCTGGAGAGGAAGCAGCTGCAGTGTTGTGGGAATTTAAGCCAGAGGGCGACTTGCCTGACTTGCCTGACATTGCTGAACCCAGAGGCTCTCAGCTCGGTGGGCCCTCTGGCATTTTCCAGCCCTCTCAGGAGACTCACTCTGTGCTCCTGGGATGGAGACTCGACCTCACACAGAAACATCGAGGGCCAAGAGCCTTGGCTTTAAGCTCTAACGTGCTTGTCCTCGCGGGGGTGCTCTGGCTTGGTCTGTCAGGTGCCCCCCCGCCTGTCGCCGCCGCGTGCGCACTAAACCACACCTGTGTGTCTTGAAAGCAGTGTGAATGGTTGGAAGCAAAACAGGGACGTGCGATTCTTCCAAGGCTGTTCCTCTGCGCGGCCGAATTCTGTGTGTGTGGTTAGCGGACACGTTAACAGGGTATCGGGTGCTGACGCTCCTTTCTACGGAGGGGGAGGCCTTGCGCTCCAGCCTTCCTGTCGCACCGTGAGTGGGGGTCAGGCTGAAGCGAGGCTTCTGCCTCCGGCTACGCTGAGGGAAGCAGAAGGTGGCGTGTGGGGATTTACTCAAATCTGAAAGCCGGTGCCCAAGATCTGCTTGGCTGGCAGCTCTAGGGTAGTCTTAATAAGCTCAGGGATGCTGCAGCATTTAGTAGAGAATTCTAGTTTTACAAAAAGGCATTAGGGCTGCTTATAGTTGTAAGGTAAAGGGGAAGCTTAAGGAAATCGTACAGATCACATAGGCCGGAGCATTTATTTAGGACGTGAGGAAGGGAACACACATCTCTAAGCGGCAGGACCCCTTCATTGCTCCCCTCAGTCTCATGGCTCGAAGTGAGTGCCGAGTGATGGAGGATGTTAAGAATTCTCCCGTTTTCCTACCCTGTGCTCTTTTCAAGTCGTACCTTAGTGCCTTAGGCCCAGGAGTGGGGCTGTGTCTGTGGTGAGGGTCTCATCCTAGAGCTCTTCATTCCATCAAGGTGAGAGGATCTTTAGGAAAAACGAACAGAAGTCAAAGGAAATAGGAACCCACAGCCCTGCGCTGGTTTATGGGCTTTTTTTCAAGTTGAACAGACTTGAATTGGAGGGACCAAAATGAACAGCCCTGGCAAATTACAGAGATAACCGGCTTCTCTGGACACAGACGCACACATACACATACGCTTTCGCCTTATCGTCATCCATTGGATACAAAGTCTCATTTCGTCTTCTTCCGTTCAATATTACTGATCCCTAAAGATGAAAGAAATTGAGGTTTAGATTAAGCCCGAGGTTCCCCCACTGAGAAGTGACAGAAACGTTACTTGGATCCGAACCCCTCAAACTTTGGATCCGGGACCGGTTCACCAGACCCCAAGCTTGAGGGGCTGCCAGGGCACCCGCCAGGGAGCCTGTCCTTGCTGTGGTTCCACGGGGCCCCATGCGGCAGAGTGTCTTCTTGGAGTCTCGCTGCTTGCAGGATGGAGAGCCCGGATGGAGATGGTTGGCGGAAACTTTTCTTTTTCTGGCAGTGAAAGAAGTGGACAGAAACATGAGTCCGGCCTCCTTGACAGGGGATGTGGGAACACTTTGGGGGAAGTAATAGTAGACCCCAGTAGGGTTGGGCTTATTTATTTATTTATTTATTTATTTACTTTAAAGATTTTATTTATTTATTTGAGAGAGCACATGAGAGGGGGGAGGGTCAGAGGGAGAAGCAGACCCCCCGCTGAGCAGGGAGCCCGACGCGGGACTCGATCCCGGGACTCCAGGATCATGACCTGAGCCGAAGGCAGTCGCCCAACCGCCTGAGCCACCCAGGCGCCCTGGGCTTATTTAAACGAAAGGACGAGCCAGAGATTGCAGTTAGCTGTGAACAAAATTTAGAGCAAATACCTGGGTGTGCCCAAAGCACTATCCCAGGGGACCCAGTTTCTACGGAAGAGATGGTCATTGTCACGCATCCATTCAGTAATTCCAAGCACCTGCCACGTGCCAGAACAGGACTAGAAAGTTGAGACGGATCGGTGAGCCCCCTGGCCCAGTCCCTGCCTGAACTGAATGTCAGGAGACTGACCTGGGAGCACAGACCCTGGCCGATGGCGGGGCGGGGCGGGGGGTGACCCCCAGACTGGAGGTTCAATAAAGATCGGCATGAAGGGATGTTGTCCCAAGTCAGACCTCCTTTCTGTAATGGCCCCGCTCCAGATGCTTCCTCCCTCCCTGAATGGCCACTGGAAACATTGCGCTGAGCTCAGGGCTTCACTGTCCCAAACCTCAGAATCATTTCCCAGGCAGAGAAACCTAAAAACCTGTCCTGCGAAGATGCAGCTTCAGAGGGGCTGGAAACTGCCCTTCATGGGCGCAGAGGCTGCATGTGACCAGGGGCGAGGCCGGGAGTTGGAGACGTTGGAGCCAAAGCCCGACCGGGGGGGGGGGGTGTCAGTCCTCAGCTAATAAAGGGGCCTGTGCACCTGGGAGATGCCAGAGGCAGGCCCCCCCTGGGACCTGGGCTTGTGGCGTGAGGAGAGATGCCCGGGGGAACACCGGGAGTTCCCGCCCCTGACCGGCGCCCTGCACAGACTAGACACACCCAAATTGGGCTCCCGGCTGCGGGGGGCTGACAGCCTGGCAGGTCTGGGCCTTGCCACGTCTCCGGCTTCTTTTCGAGGGCTTGGAAGCCTCTGTGTGTGTGTGCAGTCTTGGGGGGAAAAAATAACCCTAACTCTCTGCTTCTCTCATCCTTCCCTCTTCTGTGTATATGTCTCTCTCTCTCTCTCTCTCTCTCTCTCTCTCTCTCTGTGCGTGCCCTCCCCCCGCCCCATCTTCTCTTTCGGTTTCCTGCTACTTCTGGTGGCTCGTGGTCCCTCCCTGCCGGCAGAACTCGTCCAGCTCGGCCTCCTCCGAAGCCTCGGAAACCTGCCAGTCCGTGAGCGAGTGCAGCTCGCCCACCTCGGTCAGCTCAGGCTCCACCATGGGCGCCTGGGCGTCCACAGAGAAGGTGACCGGCTGGGCCCCCGGCCACCGCGGCCACCCTTCTCCGCCCCCCCTCCCCGCCCGCCACTGGCCGTCACCGCCAGGACCTGAAACTTGAAATCAACCAAAGGCACACCCTGAGCAGCCACTCTTGGGGACAGAGAGAGGGACAAGGCTGAGGGCTTTTTCTTGAATGGGCGCCAGCCTCCTGAGCCATGACCTTGCCGTCGTCCTGAGGGAGAGGAAGGGATATGGGGAACTCGGGGGTGGAAGGCTCCTTCCCAGAACAATGCCGTGTGCTCATCCATCTCCCCTTTGCCGTCCCAAGCCCCCCTCCCCCACTGTGGCCCCCTTGTCGCCGTAGCCACACCGCCCGATGGGACCTCCTGCTGCATCAGAGGCTGTGTGCTTTTCTGCCTTTTAGTTTGCTGACCCCTCCTCCCTCTTGACCCCGATTTGGAATCTGCTCCTGAACAGTGTGATGATTTCGGAAACCTAGAATGAACAGATTTAGTTGACGCTTGAGAATGTTTAAATTTGCATAATGAGATGAGCAGATCACGATCACCCTGAAACTCTGCTTCGTTGGCTAAATGATCAAAAACCATTGGGAACGCCACAAGTGAAGGACACTGGTCAATTTCCACACTATTCCAGAATGTAGATAAGTTATGTCCTTGACCGAGCACTTGCCTGGTGTCCCACGGGTACTCTTTGCCCCGTGGCCCTTTCCGCCCCACGGATCATCCACGAGCAGCAGAGCCCCGCCGCTTGTTTGCCGAATAAAGGCTCCGGTCCCCTCCTCCCTTGAATGTCAATGCCATCTTGTACCTCCACACTCATCCTGTTATATTAATTTTATTTTCCTTTCTCCCCCCCTTTTTTGTTTGTTTTGTTTCCAGTTGTCTAACGGGTTTTCTCACTGTAGTTTGCCAAGTGAATCCCATGTGGGGCCCATGGGGGCAAGCCTTTCCCCTCATTGCCCGCCTGCCTCCCGCCTGCTCCCTCGGGTCACCTCTGTCCACCTTCCAGACTTCGCTCATTATCACACCATTGGGCCCGGCATGTTCCCGTCATCTCAGATCCCTAGCTGGAAGGTTTGTGTCTCTCCTCCCTCCCCTCCTCTCCTCTCCCTCCGCCCCCTCTCATGGCTGTGCTCCCCCCACTTCTGTCCCACGATCCCCCATCCTGACCCCCCTCAGCCCTCCCTTCCACACTCTGCCTTCCTCCCCATAGAACCCCTCTCCCTAAGAAAGTTTCCACCGGGAAGAACCAAAAAGCAGCAGGCAGATCTGAGGGAGAAATTTGCACGCAGAGCTGAGATGGGAGAGGCTCCCTGTCACGCACCTTCCCTCAGCCCGGGCAGACGGTGGCGCCCTGCAGTTCCGCGCTGCTGGGGGCTGCTGCGGGGTGTCAGCATTACAGGGGCTGGGAGCCACTGCCCTCCCCGGCCGCGTGCCCCAGACTTGCCCCTCGAGTCCCTTACTGGGCCACGGCAACAGAACCATAATGCAAACTGGGGGTTGGCTTACCATGCTTGATCTCAAAAGTAAATGCAGACTTTATTTTTTAGTCTCATTTGTTTACTCTCAAAATGTGTTTGCCTTAATACAAAAACAAAGTTTTAAAATGAGTTCCTAGCAAGTCCAATCCTATTCTGAGAGGTGGTGTCCCTACTTCGAATAGTAGGTGATCCCAGGCTGCGGCATTTTGAGGTCTCGACTTAATCCCTCACAAGTAGTGTGGACCCCTCGTGCTCCTCAAAAATCTTTCTGCTGACCCCAGAGGCCTCCCCTCCCTCTGTGAGGGCCTCAGGGGGGCACTTCCCGGGTGCCCTTTGGGGCCCAGGCCCAGTTTCCTGGAGGCGGAGGTTCAGCCTCAGCGGGAGGGGCTGACTCCCGTTAGTGCCCCCTGGTGGCCACTTGGCTCAAGTGAAGCCATTTGGGCTGGAGGAGAGGGGGTCCCTTCAGACACCCGCAGGGAGGGCCTGGTCCCCGGGGCATGTGCTCTCCACCGGCTGGGGCCTTCAGACACCTTAGACAGTTGGTCAGCTGCAGGTGGCTACTAACTAAGAGTCACCCACAGGTACCTGCCTGGTTGGTGAGGGTGTTTCATCTTTGGGCGGATAGGAGGAAAGGGGAGGTTCCCGGGGGGCCCCGCCAAAGGATTTTCCAGTCCCTCCTTTTAGAGCCGGGTGAGGACGCAGTAGAAGGGCCTGCTGGCCTGTCCTAGCCCGAGCTTCCCCAGAGGCCGGCTGCCTTCTGTGGGCAGCTGTCCGGAGGCTTCTACAGCCTTCCAGATGGCGGAGGCCAGGCGCCTGACGGCGTGCCTTCTGCTTAGGACTGGGCCAAGCCAGGACCCTACGACCAGCCTCTGGTGAACACCCTACAGCGCCGCAAGGAGAAGCGGGAGCCAGACCCCAGTGGAGGAGGGCCCACGGCCGCGGGGGGCGCGCCCGCAGCGGCTGACGAAGCGCAGAGACCGCGGAGCATGACCGTGTCAGCTGCCACCAGGGTGACGCCTTTTTTTTTTTTTTTAAGATTTTATTTATCTGACAGAGACACAGCGAGAGAGGGAACACAAGCAGGGGGAGTGGGAGAGGGAGAAGCAGGCTTCCCGCGGAGCAGGGAGCCCGATGCGGGGCTCCATCCCAGGACCCTGAGCTCATGACCTGAGCCGAAGGTAGATCCCTAACGACTGAGCCCCCCCAGGGGCCCCAGGGTGACGCTTTTATTCGCTACAGCTGGTTGGACCCCTCTAGCCCTGGCTGGCGGCCGTGTGCTGACCGGCACAGGGGGCCGAGTCGGCCCGGCACTGGAGGGGCTTGAGCCCCGTCCCCCCACTCCCTGTTCTGTAGTGATTAGAGGGCCCCCAGGGAAGAGCCTGGCACTGAAATCGGACTCCTGGAACTTTCTAGAGCCTGGGTAGGACCCACAGACGGGTGATGTTCACGGGAGCGGGTTAGGAGTAGTACTGAGGCTCCCACTTGAAGGACGCAGAACGGCTCTGGGGACATGGGACGGGGGATTCACGGCCCTGGCGGCTTGTCTGTCTCTGTCGCCTCCCCGCTGCAGCCTGGTGAGGAGATGGAGGCGTGCGAGGAACTGGCGCTGGCCCTGTCGCGGGGCCTCCAGCTGGACACCCAGAGGAGCAGCCGGGACTCGCTGCAGTGCTCCAGCGGCTACAGCACCCAGACCACCACCCCGTGCTGCTCGGAGGACACCATCCCCTCCCAAGGTACGAGGCAGCCCGGGCTGGCGGCGGCGGCGAAGCGGCGGCCTCCCTCCTGGGCGGGGGCCGCGCCGCCACAGCGACTGCGCCGCGGTCTGTGGCGGTCAGGGCGCCCCGAGCCCGAGCCCCGGGTTCGGAACCCACTCCGCCCAGTCCCCCGGGAGCCCTGCGTCCCTCAGCGCCGCGCGCGCCAGCCAGATGGCAGCCCAGGGGCCAGAGGAGGGGTGGGGGGGGGGACCGGCCCGAGTGCAGCCCGTCGCTCCAAGCTCCTGAGACTGCGTGGGCCCCCGCAGGGCCGTTTTGCTGTCCCGGGGAGCAGCGGGCGGTGCGTGGGGTCCTCCGGGGCGCGCTGCTGGCCGTCCCGCAGTGCCGCGGCGGGTGCTGCGGCGGCTCAGAAGCCCGCTCTGCGCCCACCGCCCTCGGGAGCCCGGGTGCCGAGACGAAGCGCGCACGCCTCGGGCTGCGGCCGGACTGCGCGCGTGGTTTCGGGGGCTCGGCGCCCGGGGCTCCGCTCTCTCTCCTGCCTTTGCCCGACGCGTGCCTCGGGCGGCGGTGGTAGTGCGGCTGAGGCTGGATCCTCGCGTCCGCCTCGGGACCGGCGGGGGTGTGGCGTTCCTCGCCTCTTCCCGCCCGCCCCCTTACTCCGCCGGGAGACGCTGGGGGGCAGCGAGCCCGCTCTGGGCGTCCGCTGCCGTCCTGGGGCCCAGGGTTAGAGCGGGGAACCGAAGACCCCTGCGGGGACTGCTCGGACGTCGAGGGCTTCTCAGGATGGTGCAGAGACTGGGGGAGGCTGGGGATGAGGTGACGGGTAAAGCATCTTGCCTCTTGTGCCTTTTGTTCCTCCGACACCAAAGAACCGAATAGCAGAGCTGCTGCCGCGGAGAGTCCTAATCAAATCTTATCATCAGTTTCAGATTATGATTATTTCTCTGTAAGTGGCGACCAGGAGGCAGATCAGCAGGAGTTTGACAAATCCTCCACCATCCCGAGAAACAGCGACATCAGCCAGTCCTACCGACGGATGTTCCAGGCCAAGCGCCCAGCCTCAACGGCTGGCCTCCCCACCACCCTCGGACCGGCTATGGTCACCCCGGGGGTTGCAACCATCCGACGGACCCCTTCCACCAAGCCTTCTGTCCGCCGGGGGACCATCGGAGCCGGCCCCATCCCCATCAAGACCCCCGTGATCCCGGTCAAGACCCCAACCGTCCCAGACCTCCCCGGGGTGTTGCCCGCGCCCCCGGACGGGCCAGAGGAGAGGGGTGAGCACAGCCCCGAGTCGCCGGCTGTGGGCGAGGGCCCCCAGGCTGTCACCAGCATGCCCACCTCCATGTGGAGCGGCCAAGCCTCCGTCAACCCTCCTCTCCCAGGCCCGAAGCCAAGTATCCCCGAGGAGCACAGACAGGCGATTCCAGAGAGCGAGGCCGAAGACCAGGAGAGGGATCCCCCAAGTGCCACTGCTTCCCCAGGCCAGATCCCGGAGAGCGACGCTGCAGAGCTGAGCCCAAGAGATACTCCGCAAGGGGAAGACATGCTGAACGCCATCCGAAGGGGCGTGAAACTGAAGAAGACCACGACCAACGACCGCTCAGCCCCTCGCTTCTCGTAGGCGCGCTAGGCTCCCAAGAAACGCTGCCAGTGGGGGAAGGAACTGTTTAATTCATAAAACCTAATTTGTCTCGATCCATTCCAATCTATAATCAGACAAAAGATTTTGTAGGCAACTCAGAATACAGCTCTTTTGAAAGTACTCGACACCTTTAGATAAGAATTAAAAGCAACATATGTAACTGACATAACTTTGATCTTTTAATTTGTAAATATTGACCGTTTTCTTTCTGCACATTCTAATCTTAGTTTCCCTTTTGATTTTTCTGAAGGTGCCAAATTCCATTTAACTTTTTTACAAGTCTTTGTAAAATTTTAAATGCATAATGGGTTGGGGGGGTGGTCGGGGCAAGGGGAAACACAAAGTAGTTAATTTCAGAAAAAAAGATAACTCTACTTATTAGCCTTTTCTTTTCTCTCTCCTTTTTTTCCTGCAAGCTTTTGTAGATGCATTGTAGTAGTCTGGCTTAGAAGCAAATTCAAGTTATTTTAATGTACAAACAAAATGGATCAAGGGTTAAAATCTTCATTTACATGTAGTATGTTCTGGCTGAGAAAAGCAGGAGTAACAAATGATGAGCAATATTCGGAGTGAAGTAAATCCGGAAATGGTAGACTCTGTTGGGATTGGGGGGGAGGGCCGTGGGAGGGGCACACAGTCAACATAGCCGATCCTGTTAACATTTAAGAGTAGCCTCGTAGGTTGAATTTCTAGTAGCTTCATGGTAAATGCATCCGAATAAGCCATACTGGATTGCAGTGTTTGTTTCTGTAGGGTGTTTAAGGACTTCCTTTGTCCCACGATTCCTCTTGACTGCACACAGCACCCACCTCCAGTCCCGTGCATGCTGCCGCCACCGGGTAGACCCAGAGCTCCCCCCCCGCCCCCCTTCAGTTACTCGTCTCTCGTACCCACGTTCATTGAATCCAAATACATCCAAAAAGGGTAAGGCAGTTTTAAAAATGTGAAAACATTTAAAAATGATAGCAGGGAATTCTTAGATATAGCCAATGCCTTTTACTTAACCGTGCCCAGCAGGCTGGGCGCGTTGAAAAGCCCAAATATTTTGAACAAACTCGAGCGGATTTAACAAGGGTAACCAGCTTGGAATCTAGCAACTTGCCAATGTGTTTACCGACCTGGGGGCTTGTTTTTCTTCTCTTCTTTTAAATAAGTGGCAGTTAATTGGCATCATACCAAACATTGAAGAGCGGAGGATTTATTTATTGTCACTGGGAATCTGACCACTATACTGTCCCTTCTTCTTCTTTTTTTTTTGGTATTCTAGGTAATGTTTTTTGGAATGGATTTATGTCTTTTTTAAGTGAAAGTTAAATTTGTTCTAATGCCCATTCCCTAAAGCCAACAGAGATTTGTAGATTTAAAGGGATCTTGTTTGGAGAAGACATGTTCAAAAGGACCAAGCAAGCCCCTTAGCACTCGGGTCAGTTTCTCTTGAAGAAACCGGAGCTTGGTGGGTCCCGCAGACCCTGCAGGTTTCTGTTGGCTCTAATCTTCAGTTATATAATCTTCTGCTTTAATACCTAACTGCACTGGATGTGAGAGTAACGCACCTGTATAGTCACTGTTCTAGATATTAACATTTAACACTGCTGTGATTGCTCAAGGGCATTTTATGTTATGGCTTTAAAGCAAAGGCATGATTATTAGAAACTATTTAAGCTTTTTTTCTTTGAAGAACAAGCTCCTTCTTCAGAATATAAGCAACAGTAGTGCCTGTGGTTTAGCCCACCAATCTTGATGACTACAAGTAGCTGATGCATTGTGCATATGATGCTTGAGATGGTTTTTGCAAAAGCAGAAATCACTGCAAGGTAATGACAATAGATAAAAGTGGTATTTTAAACCTTGGAAATAAATGGATGTAACTGTACCTTGGTACAGCTTTTCACTTGTTTAGTTTTTAAACGCTAGTATAATCTGAATAAATTTAATATAAAATGTTGCCAAATTCAATGTAGAAAGAATGTGACGACACACCTTGGGTAGTTCTGTTTGTGTTTTTGCATATTGTAAAAGCAGGGTCACAGCTAAAAATAAAGAAATCGTTTCTAAAGGTAAATTATTGTGGTTTAGTTGCTAGTTTGTACTGAGAGTTGACCTCTCCCCGTGCAGTTTTTTGTTCTAAACTTGTATAAATAACAGTTGTGTAATGTGTCTCCCTTCTACCTTGTAACAATTGCTTCAGCCTACATTATAAATAAAGAACCACTAGAAAAAGTCCTGGATGTCAAGACTTATTAAAATTCAGTTCCAAGTCTTCATCAACTGTTAGGAGACGCACGCAGACTCCAACTGGGCTTACTTAGGAAACCAGAGAACATTACCTCTGGGATGGCCCTGGGCCCTAAGAACACTAGCAGCCTCCACTCATGAACTGTTTGAACATAATTCCAGTGAGTTATCACCAACTGAAAGCCAATGGGTTTGGTTGATGATGGTTTTAAAAATGGCTCTACCTTTAAAAGACACTGCTTCCAACACTTAGAGTTCTGCTGTCCCCTTACCTGGGAGTCCACAGACCACCCAAGCTACAGTAGAGAGGCAGAGCCGGAAAACCGTCCCGGGGAAGCTTCACCCCAGCCCCCAAACCTCCGCTCCCGAGCAAAGCCCGTGAACTCCAGGCTGATTCGTTGAGTATGTGCTGCTTAGAGTTAACCTTTTAATCACACTAAAATGTCATTCCTGGCACCTTTACAAAACCAAAATGTTTTCTCAAGTCCTCAGGATTTGCATACCTTCTCTTGACTTTGTATTCATCCCAGTCACTAAGCCTTCAAATAGGGTTTGTTCAACTAAAATCCTCAAGAGTAAATCTTGTATCTGGTTCTGCTATTTTCCCTGATAACACGTGCTAGCAATAGGACTTCCTGGGGCAGAGGACACTTGGCCACACTTCCCATACTTCTCTGTGCAAGTGGGAAGAGACAACGGGGGCACACGCGCTTGGCGTCATGCAGACCCCCGGAAGAACGCAGCAGTCGTACCGTATTGAGTTACTTTTATTAGGGCAAGTGTGTCTATGTGCTGTAAATTATTTCACTTGCGAGCGCGACTGGCTGGTGGGGTGTCTCCCTCTCCCGCTACATGGGCCGCTCCCGGGGCCTGGTCACAATGTGCCACCACAGTGGGGGCAGATCACCTTCCTTCCGGGCCGGGGGCAAAGCTTCAGTGCTGGGACCACCAACTGGGGTTTCCTCCTGTAGCTGCTTAACCTGGAAAGGGGGAAGGGAAGAACCATCAGAGTCGCGCTGACTGGAAAACCTGCCGCGGTGGTTTTTATATATACCTGCATTATGTTTATACCCACAGTTTAACTCAGAGAAACAATTCTGCTTAAGGGTTTTCCCATTCTTAAAACAGCAAAACTGAGAAATCCTCCCACCCCATCTCTTACGATGCAAAACTGACCATTACCAGTCCCATTCCCTTTGTTATGGTCCCCAACCTGTACCCCCTAAAAAATATTTTTATGTCTCAGCTACGTGCCCTCCAAAAGCACCATTAGGAAACCTTAATTCATATATATTAGAGATGTTCATTTTAAAGCCTCCCCCCAATAGCAACCAGGACAAGAGATACCATGAAATCACATGTGAAAATGCGCTCTGTTCTGCCTGATCCTGCCCACCCACCCCAAGTTCAGTGATCTCCAAGACTATCACTGTCCCCATAGAAGAGGACATGTAAGGGACCCCTCCCCAGATAATGGTTTTCTAAAGCTTCCTCCAGAAAACTCAATTCTAGATCGTGGGTGACCTGAGTCTCCAGCGTATGTGCTGTTTAATAACAGTGAGACGAACTAGGTAAAGAAGGTTTTTGTGGAGAAGAAGACGTTATCTGGCACCAACTGAAGAGCAAACCTGCTGCTCTCCATGAATAAACACACCTCCTGTTTACAAATGAGGAGACACTTCTTAGCAAGCACTGCCCTCCTTGGTCACAATGACTCCTCTCACTCCACCTTGGCCAACAACTTCTGCAGTCAACATCCTGGACCTTATCACCAGAACCCATATAACTTTCAAATTATATATAACTTAAAAGAACATATAAGTCATGAATCAGGGGCGCCTGGGTGGCTCTGTCGGTGAACTGTCTGACTCTTGGTTTTGGCCCAGGTCACGATCTCAGGGTCCTGGGATCAAGCCCCACATTGGGCTCTGCCCTGAGCAGCGAGTCCGCTCAAGGATTCTCTCCCTCTGCCCACCCCCCCAGCTCGAGTGCGTGCTCTCTAAATCTTAAAAGACAATTGTGGATCAAATATCCCACTAACCACAGAAGCCCTCTCCAGCTCATGTGCTTAAATATCCCCTTGAGAATGCTTTTTGAAACGCAGAAATTGCCAGTTCACAGATCCTCTGACCCAATTTGTCCTTCTCTGCATCAGCCTCCTGACTCCGTGCCTGCTTTAGCCGCTTCCATCCCATCATGGCAATCACTCCCTTTTGAGTAACCTCTGGTCTCTCGACACTCTCCACTGGACACACCACACCATCCACCTTCCAGACTGCACCCAGACAGCTGGTGTTGCTAGAAAGAAAAAAATGCTGCAACAAACCAACGTCACAACACATTAATTAGTCCCAACTTCAAATGGGCCTTCACCACTACCTGGCAATCCTATTATTATTCCCAGTGATCTCATCCTCTGCCATGACTCCCACATCTTCTCCACATTCTCCAAAACAGGCTGCGCCCACTTCATGCCTTTTTCCTCTTTGCTAAAACAGAGAAGCTGTCACATAGAACTCTCATTTTCCCATCGTCAAAACTTCTAGCCCGGATGTATGTACGTGCACCGTCTGTACAGTTCTAGTGGAGGAAGAACCCGTTCTCCTTTCAGAGGCCCTCACACATGCTTGGGATCCCGTCGCTCTTCTCCAAAGCTTTCCCCGTTGACCTCTTCCACCTTGCTTCAACATTGTCCATTTCTCCCTCGCCCCGAACCTTCTCTCAGCACACATGCATCATTTCTTATCTTAAAAAGAAAATAATGCCTTGGCCTCCAGTTACTGTTCCAGCGAAACTTCTCAAGAACTCCCCCCCCCCCCCACTGTCTTCTCTCTCTTACCTCCTGCTCACTCTTACTGGTGTGATTAAACCCTCCAGAAAAGGCTCTCCAAGGTCACGAATGCCCTTCCTATAGCCACAGTCCGTGGACATTATTTCCGGCCCTCACTCTATTCCACCTTTTATCAACTTTCAGCAAAAATGACCAACCCTGACTGGCTGTTCCTGAAACACTTTCTCTTGGCTTGGACTCGCTGTCACCCCTCTCCCCTTGCTGGGTGCTTTGCTGCCTCCTTTCCTCACCTCCACAAGTGGGAGCGCCTGTGACTTTTCTGCTCTCTCTCCTCTCTCATAAGGATCTCCTTCATTTCCGCGGCTTTTAAAACAATGGATAACTCACAAATTTGTTTCGAGCTCAAATCTCTCCTTTGAGTTCCAGGTTCCTACACCCAAAGTCGCCTATTGACATCTCACTTGGTGTCTCACAGCATTCTCAAATTTAACAAATTTAAAACCAAACACTTACTTGTCCCCCTGACACCTGTTTTGTTTTTTTTATTTATTTATTTGAGGGGGGGGGGAAGAGAGGGAACATGCAGGGGCAGGGGCAGAGAGGCAGACTCCCCAGAGTGTGAAGCCGGACATGGGGCTCCATCTCACAACCCTGAGATCACGACCTGAGCAGAAATTGCGAGTCAGATGTTTAACCGACTGGTGCCCGTTTTTTCCTCTTCTTCATCTCAATAAACCATCACCAGACTCCAGGTGTTAACATGGATCTCATTCTCGATTGCTCCCTGTCCCTCATGCACCCCCCACATCCAGTCAGCCTTCATATCCCGCCAAATGATACCCTGAATCGATTTCTTTCCCTATTCACTGCATCCCCCCTACCCCCATGCTGGTTGCCATAATCTTCTGACCAAACTGCAACAACCCCAAATTGGTCTCTCCACTTCTCCTCTTGCCCTCTCCAATATACTCTTCACACTAAAGTTGAGCTTTTAAAAATGTAAATCAGACACCACGAATGAAAAATGTCCAAGATGCTGGTGGAGAGGAAAGTTCAGGGACAGGAGGGTACAGGAAGATGGTCAGGCAGAGGACTGAGGAGAAGGAGGGGAGAAGCAAAATCAAAGAGCAGAAAACCCAAAGAGACCAGCGACACCCTGTCACCCGTTTGCAAGAAGGCTGTAAAGGTTACGTTTACCACATTTAGAAACGCAAGTATATCTGAGAGGCAAGGGGCCGCAGTAACTGTCATAACTGGATCCTGGACTTCTGCACCTGGGGAACAGAACCTGAGCCCCTTCCAGGCGTGGACCATGTGGGCCAAACCGTGAGGCGAAAGGCAGGGAAGACTCACCTCCCGCTCCCAGCTTTCCATCCGCAGCTTCTTCCACTGCTCTCTCTTGGCAAAGTAATCAGGATACATCGCCTTCTCGGAGGGATGCCAGTCATCTAAGCACCACTCGGGCACCTGTCAGGAGGGGAAATCACCGCGTCAGCCCATAGGAGGTGTGGGCGTGCCACCTGCAGGGCCTGCTCAGGAGGCAGAAGGCAAAAATGACGGTGTATTTTTATAACCACTGCAAGCATCAGACGTCTCAGGTGCTGCACAACGACCAACGGAGGGTGAGCTGACCCCGACACAAAGAACATCTCAGAGTCAAAGAGCCAAGGGCTGAGAAACCTCAAGGTCAGTTCAAAGACAGCTGGCACCAATCCTCTCTGATCTGCATTCTCTAATTACGCAGAGCAGCTTGACGCGGTGCGGGACTGTTACCTGTAATTGCTCCAAAATACCAAGCACCAATCCGAATTGGTTAACTTTAAGATCCCAAAATGAGTTATATACCAAGTAATTTAGCGCATTGCTTTGCCAAAAAGATACTGCAAGACCTTGGAGCTGAATTCAGAAAGACAAGGCAACAAGAATGTCACCTGGGACAGAGAAAATGGACACCTGCAAATAGAAAAGTATTTACCACTGGCAGGAAAGAAATTTGCCTAGCTGCCCCTAACGGGGCAAGCGGATTTGGGGCTGAGGTTTGGGACGGGAGAAAAAAGGTCTGCCTCTCCGAAGGCAGTCACCACTGCAGTGCTCGCCTACCTTGTAACACTCATATCTCTCATAGGAGGTCCCTCCTGGAGACTCAGGGAAGATGTATGGCTGAGGATGCTGATTGTGCCAGAATTCTTCCTCCGC